GGGGTCCCGGTGAGTGGGGGCGCTTTGGTGAGGGTGAGAGGGTGGCTCGTCCTGAGGGAGCAGGGCCGCCTTCCTGCAGGTTACTGCGGCCAGTTCGTACCAGCTCAGATCCCGCCTGTTTTCGAGCTGGTCGTTCCAAACCCAGCAACTGTTGGCTGCTTTGAGAGCAGGAGCCACTGGTGCTCCTAGAGGGTGGCCCTGAGGAGCTGTGTCAGGGCGTGGAGAGGAGGCCACCCAGGGACCGCAGGGGTCTCTGCACGCTGCAGGGCCCAGACTGCCTGCAGGTCAGGCGTGGGGACATCCACCCAGAAGGACACCAGGGTGGGGCCGGGTATGGAAGCCGAGCCCCGGCCGTGAACATGGATCTGAGGAGGGCTCTTGGGTGGGTCCCTGGAGACCACACGCAGCAGCCCGCGGGCTACGGCGGACACTGGACGCCCTCCTGCCGCCAGACACCTCCCCAGAGGCCTTGGACCTCCTCAGACGACTCCTGGTGTTCGCCCCGGACAAGCGGTTAAGCGCATCCCAGGCACTGCAGCACCCCTACGTGCGGAGGTGGGAGTGGAAGACGGTCCCCCAGGTGCGGGGGTGGGGGCCGGGCCCTGCGATGACAGCCTCAGGGGCTGGCTTGACCCGAGCCCTGGCCCCACCTCTCCGGCTCCCTGCAGATTCCACTGCTCCAGCGACGACGAGTGGGCACGAAAGGCAGCTGTGCGGCTCCGGGGGCACGAAGGGGTCCAGCTCTCCGCGCCTGAGTACCGCAGCCGTATCTACCAGGTGCTCCGGCCCGTGACCCCCGTCATCCCCGGTCTACCTGCACCCTGGAGGCCACCTCCTATGTCAGAGACCCCCAAACGCCCCATGGGCAGGCTGTGACCTCTGAGCACCCTCCTGTCCCGCAGATGATCCTGGAGCACGGAGGCGGCGGCTGCACCTCAAGAGAGAAGGGCCTGGAGAGCGTCGCCCCAGGGGCGGAGCCCAGGGCCTCCCCATCCCAGGCACACCTGTGCAAGCCCAGAGCCAACCCTCAGCTGTCTTCAGGGACACCTGGGCAGGGCCCCAGAGCCAGGCCTCAGAGTGGCCCGGGCCACGACCCCCCAGAGCACGGTGTGTGACCTTTGCTGGCCACCCACAAGGAGCGTGGCCCGGGCTTCCTCCTGTGGCTGCCAACTGTGTGCAGCACCCGGCTCCTGACCCTGGGTTTGACCTTCTGACCCTACAGAGTCCCCCCGTGTAGCCGAGAACATTCCCAGGCAGAACTCTGCTCCCCTGCTCCAAGCTGCACCCCTAGGGAAGGGGGAAAGGCCCCCTGGGGCAAAGGCAGAGCCCCGCTTGGCACTCTCCCTGGTAAGTTATAGTGAGCTGGGCACAGGAGGGACCCTCTCTCTTTGCCTCTCAGTGACCCTGTAACGTGCCTCTTCCCAGGTGAAGCCAAGCGAGAGGGGAGCAGCGTCCTCCCTGACCTCACAGTCTGTGGCTCAGGTGGCCAACCAGGCCCTGATCCGGGGTGACCGGAACCGGGGCGGTGGGGTGAGCGTGGCCGGTGCCCAACAGGTGAGCCCAGCCCCAGTCTGCCCCTTCCCCCATCCTCCTCTTCCCCTCCTTCCCCATCCTTCCCATTGCCCCTCCGCTGTCCAGTTCGAATCCCTCGAGGTCAAGGCCTTCCCTCCACTGCACCCCCTCGGACACCTCCCCTTATGTGACTCTCAACTGCATGCAGGTCCCTCCCCGGCCCGGCCGGAGGATGTTCCGCACCTCTGCCTCGCAGGGGGCTCAGGGGGCCGCCAGGGCTTTGCTTGGAGGCTACTCTCAAGCCTACGGGACTGTCTGCCACTCGGCACTGGGCCACCTGCCCCTGCTAGAGGGGCACCGCGTGTGAGCCACCCTGCTCCCTTCATCTGACCCTGTCCCTGGCCCAGCACCTTTCCCAGACCCTCCCCAGTCTCCTGCACCCCTTGGCCCTCCCTGCTTTGCCTGGCCACATTGAAGTTCTAGGGAGCTTGCCTGGGGGAGATGACGGCCCTGCCCCAGCCCCAGTGACTTCCTCCAATAAACTCATGTCTGCCCCCAACCTAAGCAGCCATCGTTCCTCCACTCCCCTCTGAGGCCATAGCACCTGCTAGCCGGGGGCCCCAACCCCTTTCCTGGAGCGTCCCCTCCTCTGAGGACCCCGCCGCCCACTCCACATCCTGCAGTGAGCTTTTTCCTCTAGATTTGCCTGGGCAGCTTCCTGTCCTTTGTCCCTTATCTCCCTACTTGCTGTGGCTTCAGGGTCCAGGCTGCCCCCCAGGGTGGACCTGTGGGATGGTCATCCCATGGCCATCTTTGTGACTCTGAGCCAGAGGAGAGGAGTCAGCCCCACCCCTCCTGCACTGGCAGCCCGCGCCCCCACCCCGCCCCTGTGCAGCCACTGCGCTTGATCTGTCTCCAGGTCTCCGCAGGTGAGGGTGGGTGTGGGGTCAGGGTTACCTCCTCTGCTCACCCACCTGGCAAAACCCCTGGCGTGAGTTCAGGCCAGGGCTGTGCAGGGCTGCAGAGATCAAAGGGCCCTGTGGGCACAGAGCTGTGTCCTAGGGTGCCAGGTGTCCCCAGCTGCACCTGCCCCTGAACTGGGGCTGGAACGCGGGCAGCTGGGAAGCTCACAGGGAGGAGCTCGGTCTGAAGGGCGAGGCCTGTGCTATTGGCGGGGGGTTGGGCTCCGGGCTCACTGTCCGGGAAGCTCACAGGGAGGAGCTCCGTCTGCAGGGCGAGGCCTGTGCTGTGGCTGGGGCTGGGCTGCCGGGAGCAGGGGCTCTGCGGGCTTGTGGAAGCAACTGTCACCATGGGAAAGGGCGAGGAAGGACAAGGTGTGAGCAGGAGAGCTGAGCAGAGGGCGGGAGCTGGCGCTGCCCTGGTGCTGGGCCAGGCACCTACAGGAGACTCAAAAAGGGAGGCTGGGCTTGAGAGAAGGTTGGAGGAGGTGGATGAGGGAGCGGGAGGGCCCGAGGAGGTGGTGAGCCAGTCAGAGACCCTGCCACGGGCTTGTCTCCTGAAGGGTCTGCCCAGTGGTCTGCTTGCTGAACTTCACAAGCCCAAGGCACAGCCCCAGGGTGCTCAACAAGCAGGACACAGACGTCAGGGGGCTGCAGGGCTGGAGGCTTGGCCTCAAGCTAGGCAGTGTGTGGTGGGGTTGCTGAGTGGGGAAGCACAGGTGGCATCGGGGACAGGGACAGGAGAGCACGTACAGCGTGAAGTCCGAGGCGCCGAGGTGGACCTTGGAGTGAAGCTGGGGGGTCTTTAGTTTCCCCCACAGGGATGGGAGGTGAGTCCACAGGAGAAACCCAAGAGGCCACATGGTTAGAGGCTGCAGGGCAGAACTGGGCGATTATGCACACAGGGAACATGCTGGAATATTTTGTGGGTTGTGTTTGATTAACACCGAAATGTGCCCCATCCTGGTTTAGAAGATGTGGAGGGTGCAGGCAGCAGGCTCCGAAGGCCCCAGCAGGGCGGCCAGCCTCTGGCCTCTCCATGGGCTCCACTTTGAGAGTCTGTCCATTCAGCCACACCCCAGGCAGCACCAAGCCAAACGTGCCCACAAGAGACGCTCAGGTGCACCCGCTCCAGGCACCTTTTCCACCTGGCCAGAAGCCCCTGCTGCCGTCCCTGCTTGGGCGGTGTGGCTTTGGTAACCAGCTGGCCGGGGCTGTCCAGCAGTGACAGCGGGGCCCCTTCCCTTCCTCTCCCAGCTGCTGGAGTCAGAACTGCTGCCTCTGGCGGCCTCGTTTCTTAAGTCAGTTACCTCTTAGGATGTATTACACTAAAAAAATTTTTTGAAAAGAAATAGCAGATCCAGGTGGTGTCGATGCAGTTAAAAAAGAAACAGAATACAGAAACACTAATTTCACAAAGCTAGCATCTAACAGTGGGGGACCTTCCACGCATGTAGTGCCAAAATGCATCATTCTGAGTCCGTTACAATTCCTCACTGGGGCTGAAAAATGATACAAGACAAGCCAGGAAGCCTGGACAGATTCTCGGTGTTGGTGACAGAGGAAAGGCCCTGAGAACAGGGGTGGGGTGGGGTGTCTGCTGGACGCCAGGAGGGCAAAGACCACTCCCACCTGCAGGGGTGCCCAGGACCTGTGTCTCAACAGCTGGGATCAGCCTCAGCTGCACCTTGTCCCCTGCCCTCACCTGGCCCCACACCTGTCAAGACAAACACTCCACCATCCAGCCCTTCTGGTGCCCGGGCTGGGCCTGTGCAGGGGACGCTCATGAGGCTGGGGCCACAGGTTGTCCATCCGGACTGTTTTATTGTGCTGCAAAGCCCAGTGCCCCCTCCCCACTCTCACCCGGTGCTGGCCAGAGCCTTGCTGGAGGAGATGGCAGACCTGCCAAGGCAGCCCCCGGGGCTTCCCTGTGCCCCTTTCCCAGCGGTCTGCCCTGTCCAGCTTCCTTGCCACTCCAAGGGGCATCCTTCCGGTCCGGCTCCACCCCTCCAGTCTTCCCCACAGCAAGAGCACAGGCCTCTGGGAAAGATGCTGGGAGGCAGTTAGTGGGAGAATCCAAATAGGACGGGAAATGCAGCCCTGAGGATGGAGGAGACCCTGAGAGAGAGAGGGAGGGAGGGAGGAAGCGGGCTGTAAGGAGACAGGGAGGGGAGCCCTGAGAGCAAGAGGCCCTGAGAAGGAAAGGGGCCCCAGAGAGTGGGGAGTTGAGGCACAGAGGTGGGGCCCCTGAAAGAGGACAGGGGACTCAGCGGGGCACGGAGGCTCACAGCTGTAATACCCCCATGTTGGGAGGCTGAGGCGGGCGGATCACTTGAGGTCAGGAGTTGGAGACCAGCCTGGTCAACATGGTGAAACCCTGTCTCTACTAAAAATACAAAAATTTGCAGGGCATGGTAGCAGGCACTTGTAATCCCAGCTACTTGGGAGGCTGAGGCACGAGAATCACTTGAACCTGGGAGGCAGAGGCTGCAGTGAGCTGAGATGGTGCCACTGCATTCCAGCTTGGATCGCAAAAAAAAAAAAAAAAAAAAAAAAATGGCATGGGGGTGGTGAAGCACAAAGATATGGCAGAGCCGGACTGCACCATGCAAGGCTGATGGTACAGAGATGAAGATGCTGAGGAGAGAAGGTGCTGAGGGAAGAAAGGCACTGGTGGTGAGGGGCTGGATCCCCAGTACTGGGGAGGCCAGGGGCACAGACGGCAGCTGCTGGGTGAGCCCCAATAGGACCCGAGCTGTGGCGCACTCAGCCAAGCCCCAAGCAGCCGTGGCCTGGCAGCCACCGCTCAGGCACAGGAGCAGGGCTCTCTCCTTGCTCCATGGGGGCTCCGGGTGGCCGCGGCAGCAATTCGGACACCCTGGCCTGGGCTGCTGGGCCAGGAGACTCATTTCTTGCCTTTGAACGTGCCCAGAATCTTGGGCACAAACTTGCCCACCTTGCTGTCCCTGGTGCCTTCCTCCGCCGGGCCCTCCCCAGCCCCGGAGCTGCTGGCCTCCTCTTTCTTGCAGAAGACCTCGAAGCGGCTGTACACGCGCTTCTCCTTGCGCATGCTCTCCATGCGGCGCAGCAGCCGATCGCGCTCCTCCGCGCTGGCCGGCAGGGTGCGGCTCAGCCGGCCTTGGGTCCCCAGGCTGTCTGAGCGGAAGATGGCCGAACACTTGTCCTTGTCGGACATATCTGGGGCCAGGCCGCCAGCAGCCGGTGGACGGCCTAGCTCGGGGCTGCTGTGGCCCGGGCCGGGGCCCGGGGAAGGGACCACACGGTGCTTCTGGCCATGGGCACTGATCTGCTCCAGAATGGCCTTCGTGTCGTCCCGAAGGTTGCTGCTGTACAAGGCGTTGGCGGTGGCTGAGGCCAGGCGTGCCCGGGGGCCGCGCTCCTCTCCGGTGGCAGCCTCTGTGCTGTCACCCCGGCCCAGTGACGGCCGCCGCGGGCTCTCCGGCTGCCCGTTCTCCTGCGGCACTGGGAAGCCACCCTCATCCTCCAGGCGCCGCTCGCCCTTGGGGCTCAGCAGCTGCCTAAGGCGCAGGGAGCCTTTGCGCAGGACTTCCATGGGGCCGCTCGGCCCCTCCTCTGCGAGCCCGGCCTTCGGGGACTCTCCGGAGAAGGTGAGGGTGAGGCTGCCCCTGCGCTCCGGCACGGGGGGCACGGGACTGCCCCTGCGCTCCGGCACGGGGGGCACAGGACTGCTCCTGCGCTCGGGGTAGGCTGAGGTGGGGCTCCCCTTCTGCTCGATAAATCCGGTCGTTGGGCTTCCTCTTCGAGCGGGAAACCCAGGCGTGGGGCTCCCCTTCCGCTCAGGGTAGGCCGAGGTGGGGCTCGCTTTTGGCTCAGAGTGGGGCACCTGGCGCTCCCCGGGCCCTTCCAGTGGCAGAGGGCTGTCCGGCCCTTGAGGGGAGGTGGAACGGCCCTGGGCAGGGAGGAAGCGGGAGGGCAGGGGGTCAGAGCCGCTCCGGCCCAGCGTATCGAGCAGCTGCGCCGCGGTGAGCGAGGCGGCTCCCGGCTGCCGCTCCGCCTCCTGGTTCAGCTGCTGCGCAAAGGAGTCGCGCAGGTCCAGCAGGCAGCTCTCGAGGCTGCGGCGCTCGCCCCCGACGCCCCCTGGGGCCGCCACCTCTTCCCGCCATGCCTGGGACACGACGGCCTTGCTGTGGCTGGCAACGGTGATGGCGCCCGCGCCGCCGCCGGGGTCGCGGGCCGGGCCCTTATACTTCTCCAGCAGCTCGGCCACCTTGGTGGACGCCGCGGAGCGCACGGCCTCTCCGCCAGGCCCCAGCGTCTCGCTCACCGTCTGCTCTTTGTGCAGCAGCTGCACCTTCTCGGTGGCCGCCACAGTCCCGGACGCGCCCTCGGCCTGCGACGCGCTGAAGATGAGCGAGGAGCGCAGCCTGGAGCTGCGCTGGATGACGGGGTTCAGGCGCGAGCGGAAGGCGTCCTGCTTGGCCAGGCCGGGCTCCTCCGCGCCCTCGCGCTCCGGGCCGTTGCCGGCCGCCGCCCAAGCCTGGCGCCGGGACCTTGGTGGGGAAGGCTGCGGGGACGCGGAAGGCCGAGGGGAGCAGGTCGCCGGCAGCTGCCCAGCCCCCCGGAGCCAGCACGTCGTCTTCACAGGCCTCGGCTTCCATGGGCGCCGGCAGGCCGTCGTCGCCCCCGTCCTCGCCATGGCGGCCGCTCAAGTAGGAGGCCAGGCGCCAGCGCCGCAGCCCGGCCCGCCCCTCCGGGCCGCCCCTGCGCTCCGGCTCCGCCTCAGGAGCGGGGTCTGGGCCGGGCCGGGCCGCCGCCTGGCAGGGGAAGCGCTGGGCCAGGGTGGGGCGCAGGGCCCCGCTGGGTTCCGGGCCGCGGGGGCCGGGCCCGAAGGCGGGGTCCGAGCCGTGGCGCACCTCGCGGGACGCGCTGGACGGCACGTAGTCCAGCCGCTGGGGGCCGTCGGGCCCGAGCTCCGGGAAGCGCGGCCCGGCGCCCAGAGCGAAGTCATCAGGGTCCGCGAAGCCGGCACGGCCCCCGCGAAGCTTCTCGAACAGGCCCTGCGGGCGGGCGGGCGCGAGCTGCGGGTCCCACTGGTACTGCTGCTGGTAGAGCTGGTCGCGGTGGAAGTGGCTGGTCTGGAAGCGGAGGTCGTCGCCGTGGCTGAGGAACGTCTGCCGCGACACCTGCCGCGCGGCCGCGAAGTTCTCCACGGCGCCCGCGCCCTCGGCCGCGAAGCTGTGCCGCTTGAAGGCGTCCACCTCCAGGTGCCGCGCCTGGAAGAAGCCCCGCGCGCCCGCGAGGTCCCCGGCCGGCCCGGCCTCGGCCTCCAGGCGCCGCGACAGTGGCCGCAGCCCCGCGTGCGGCTCCAGGGCGCCCCCCGGCATCCGCAGCGGCTCCTCCCGGCGCAGGGCCGACAGGAAGTGGCGGTCCGGGTCGAGGAAGGAGGGGAAGCCCAGGCCCTCTTCGCGGGGTGGGGGGAACAGGAGGTGCGCTCGTTTCGGGAAGGAGAAGGGGGTTGGCGCCCCGACCCCAGGGACGCCCACGAGGGGCCCGGCCCCGGCGTACGGAGCCAGGGCGTAGGCGTCCATGCGGGCCAAGGCCGTGGCCGAGGGCACCAGCGGCTCCGACTGCGCGAAGAGGATGCGGAACTCCTCGTCGAAGCTGGAGACCAGCTCTCCTTGGAACACGTGTGCCAGGCTGCGGTGGATCTTCTCGAAGGACCACATGAAGCTGTGGGGGGTCAGGGCTGGAGTCAAACCGAGCTGGGGCAAGGGCAGTGCGGCCTTGTGGGCAGCGGGTGGGGCGGGGAGGACTCAGGGACGTGAGGTCTGGAAGGGCCTGGGCCCGGCCTACAGGTGTAGCTGGCTACAGGGCAAGGGCTCCTGGTGAGGAGGGCCCTGGTATGGAAGGGGGGCACTGGGGCGACAGGAGGAGGCCCCAGAGGAGGAGCCGAGGGAACCCCGTGGGCGCACCTGTAGCTCCCACTCATCACCACAGCGCAGTCCACCAGCAGGAACTTCTCCTTGACGTGGCCCTTGAAGGACTTTCCCGTGCGGCAGTAGTACGTGGGGCCCGCCACAGTCCGCACGCGCAGGAACTGGGGAGGGAGGGGAGTCAGATCTCTGCCAGGGGACCTCCCCAATCCCCCACTCCCGGGAACTCACATCCACGTGGTGCAGGTTGACGCGGCACTTGTCGGCCATGTCCAGGAAGTGCTGTGCGTTCATCTCGTCCAGCAGGATGTAGACTGGGACCCGACGGGCTGCGGCCTCCAGCACTTCGCTCAGCAGGTCCACATCAGTGAACATGTCCATCACCACGGCCACCACCTGCAGGGGCAGGTCAGGATGGAGAGCAGAGGCCGCTGCTGTCCTCACACCATTGTCTAGCTTCCCCTCCACGCCTCGGAGGCGTCCGGGTTACCCACAACCCTTGTAAAACACATGCTAGCCCATCCTAGGGAGTGGGGCCACATCTGGGAAGATGGATGGGAGGAAGGGACCCAACAGAAGAAGCCTGGAGCTGCTGGCTATAAGCCGGGGAGGCGGGGCAGGTGCAGGGCAGAGAACCCTGGATGAGGGTGGGCACCGCAAGGGGCCCTCAATCTCCCCTCCACTCTACAGATGGCTGAGCTTTCCCCACTCCAGGGCAGCTGTCAGGGCTGAGGGGGGTCGCTGTCCAGGAGGGGGTCACTGCCCTGGGCAGGGGACAAAGGCAGGGGCCTTTAGCGTTCGCACCTGAGGCCTCAGTTGCCATGGTTTAACAGAACCCTCTGCAGTCTGCTAGCTGCTTGGTGAGGGTTTGAAGCCCTCAGCTGGCCAAGGGCCACCCAGCAGGATGAGAGGAAATTATCTGAACAATGAACCCAGGCTGGTGGGGGTGCCCACCCGTCCCAGAGCCCTGGAGTTTCTGGGCACTGGCCATGACCACAGGCAAGGAGAACTGTGCAGAACCTGCAGCCCGTGGTGACCAAGACCTGCCAGCCCTGAGGAGCTCAGCCGGGACCCCCACTGCGGCTGGAGCTCAGGGCTCCCCCCACAAGCTGGTCATGCTCTGGTGTCTCCTCCACCCTCGTGCCTCCACTCCAGCACAGGCCCCTCCCCACCACACTAGAGCTGCGATGGCGCACCTGCTGGGCGGAACGGATCATCCTGCGGGCCTCATCCTTGATGCTGGGGCTGTCGGGGGGTGGCGGCTGCACCAAGGTGGTCACCTCGGTGCCCTGGAAGCCAAAGGTCAGGGGCCAGCCCAGGTCAAGCTCAGGCACGGCCTGGTCTGACTTCACCGGCCAGTATGTACCCGAGGAGCCCTCCATGTCCACGTCGAGAATGCTGCCTTCGGGGGGTTCTCGGGCAACATACTGTGGGGGCCGAAGGTGTCGGCTCACATGTTCCAGCTCTTCAGGGCACAGGAAGTCAGGTGCCCCCTCAGACGCCAGGAAGCGGCTATAGGCTTCCGAGCCACCTTCGGCCAGTGCATCCACCGCCAGGCGGTAGTACTCTTTGTAGTGAGGTGGCAGGTACCCGGGTGCCAGTGGGTTGTCCCCCTGCGAGGAGCTCTGGGAGCGACGGGCCATGTTGGGGCCAGCGGCCTGGAGGGGCAGGGAGACACATGACTAGGGGCGGGGGCACTGGGACCACTCCTGCCCTCAAGCATGGTCACACTGTGGAAGGAGCCATTGGGGAGTTAGCTAAGCCGGAGTTCAGCCCATGCCCAGCCCGCCTTCCAGGGCACCAGCCGAGCCAGGCTCACAGAGGACCGCCCAGCCCTAGGATGCCCCTAGCTGAGGAGGCACCGGCAGGTATCCCAGGCTGGGGCACAGGTATCCCAGCCCTGTCTCCTTCCTCTGGGAGGCTGAGGCAGGAGAAGTGCTTGAAGCCAGGAGTCTGAGACCAGCCTGGGCAACACAGCAAGACCCCATGTCTACAAAAAATTCGAAACATTAGAAGGCATGGTGGCACATGCCTATAGTCTCAGCCACTTGGGAAGCTGAGGCAGAAGGATCGTTTGAGTCCAGGAGTTGCAGGCTGCTATGAGCTATGACTGTGCCAATGCACTGTGCCTGGGTCACAGTAAGAATGCATTGCTACAAAAAATAAAACCAAACCCTCTGAAACATTTCATGACTCTTGGCTTAAAGACAAACATAATCTGGGCTACATTCATCATTATAATTTCACTTTTTCTTCTAAGACGTTCAGGAGCCCCTGGCACTGTGCCTACTGGACAAGTTGGTGCTGCCATGCTGCCTGTGTGTCTCTCTGACTGCCTGGGAGACCCTGAGTAAGTTGCTGCACCTCTCTGGCCTGTTACGTCTACTGCACGACACAGCTGAGGGTCCACATGACGCCACGCTTAGCCTAAGGTGAGCGCAGCAAACAGGGCTGTGACCACCCTCCTCCAGGAACGAGGAGGTCCCATCCTCAGAGTTTCCACATTTGGGTTCCCACAGCCCATTCTCTGACCACCCAGCCCTGGAACTGACCCCTAGACTCTGTCCCTGTCTACCAGCAACTCTCCTTCCATTGGTCTACCTTTGACCTCCCTCGTCACTATCCCTCTTAGATGAAACCTCCCTGGGCCACAGCCCATTGGTGCCCACAGGTCCTTGCAAGGCCTGCACTCCACGGCCCCCAGATCTGGCTCTTCACTTACTCAGAGTCCTGTCCCCACCACCCCAGTCCAGGGCAGCAGGGACCTTTCCAGGTCTTGGGCTCCCTACCACCATCCATGCTTGCCTGCCCCACAGCCCACCGTTCTCCAGAGAGTCCCTGCAGGGGCCTGGCCTCTCCAGAAAGGTGTCTGATGAGGACCTCTATAGGGCGCCTCGGCCCACGTGCACATGGCCACGGAGCTACCTGGGTACCTCTCCCTGGAAGGAGAGCCCGAGGGACCACTCAGCCCATCCCAGTGCTCCTTGGTGGCTGAGGGAGGCAGGACACCTATCCCCACCTAGCACACGGGTTCCCGAATGTTGGCCCTGGCTGGGGAGGTGGTTCAGCCCAGAGAGGAGCGTGCCCTGGGGCGCTGACAGGATGGGCGCTGGCCAGCTGGACTGCATGGGTGCCAGCAGGAGCCACCTGGCTGAGAATGTTGGGGTCAGGAGGCAGCCGTCCTGCGTGCCACCCCTGGGGGTGACATGGAGTTGACACGTGGGAAATGCCTGGTGCCACTCAGCTATCCAGCCGCAGATGCCAACCAGCCTGGGAGAAGCTGTCCCAACATTTCTTTGTTGAGGCACTGTCCTCATGGTTGACATGTGGGGCTGGTTAGGGCACACTGTCTTGGTTGTGCCAGGAGCAGATCAAGGCTGACCACATGGGGGTGAGGGGCAGGCCTGTCTGGCTGGGCAGGGGCACCCACTCACCACTGCCAGCCTGGCTGTAGAGGCAGTGTCTGATCACACAGGGCTTGGGGGAGCAGCCCTGCTGACCTCGAGGGGCACTTCCTGATGCTGGGGGGACACTCTAGAAAGGACCCCCACTATCCCTTTGGATTTCACAGGGTAGGGGAATCAACAGTGTCCAGGCTGTGTGTAATGGGGGCAGGGACCATCCAGACCGTGGAAGTCCCTGTGGCCAGAAGCCCTCCGGCACACACCACGGTCCTCACGGTGATGCCAATGGCTTCCTCCAATGGCTTCATTCCTCGTGTCGTCTCCTTTCATGGGTCTGTGTCTCCCTGGCTATGGACAGGGCCGCAGCCACTCCTGAGCCTGAGATGCAGCACCCCAGTGGCCTGCACGTCCACACATTTGTGTAGCAAACGCCTGCCCAAGGGAGGGAGGGCGGACGGAACCCACCCATGGCCAATGACTCAGCACGAATCCACTCCCGTGCTGACCCCTGACCTGTGACTTGAGGTCAGGGCTCTCAGCAGGACGCCAAGGACCCCATCCTCTGCACCCTGGCAGTGAGTGGGGTATCCGGAAGGAGACCCCCATGGAAGGATCCCGAGTTCCCACACAGCGTGGGGTGAGCCTGTGCCAAGGTCCGACGGGCACGGGAGGGCGCGGAGGCTCTGGGCGGCGGACAGGTTGGGGTGGGGAGGACGCCGCTCACAGACCGGAAGTCGCTCCGTGATAGCTTGCGGGGTGGGCACCCCAGCGCCCAACGGGGCCAGCGCACCCTACGCGCTCGCGGCGGCGGCGGCTGGGTGCCCCATCCGCCCACCCCACCCCAGGAACGTGGGCCCGAAGGGCAGCACCCCCGTCGCTCGCCCTGCTCTCCACGCGGGGACCGGGCCGCACCCCGGCCACCCCACGCCACGGCGGCCGTCCCCAGGGAAGGGTCCAGCCCGTGGCCAGCCCGTGCCCAGCACCCAGACGCCAGCCGGGCCGCGAGGGCGGGCGCGAGTCGGGGCGGCCGGGCAGGCTCGACCCGGGCCCCGGGCCCCTTCCCATCGGCTCCCCGCGGGCCGGCGTCGTGCGAGGGCGCTCGCGTCCAGATCCGCGCAGCGGCGCCCCGGGTCCGAGCCGCCCGCCGCCCCCGCCGCCGCCCCGCGCACGCGGCCGCGCTCCAGCCCCACCGCCCCCTCCGGAGCGCGCGGCCCCGCCCGGGCCGGGGGAGGGGGCCCTACCTGGCCAGGTGCGCGGGGTCTCGGCACAGGGGCAGCAGGAGCCGACCGCCGCCCAGCGGCCTCGCGGTCCGGTCGGTCCGGCAGCCACTCCCTGCCGCGGCCCGGCCTGATTCACGCGCCCGCCCCCGCCCCGCCCGGCGCTCCTGCCTCCTGCCTGCCCGGGCAGCACCTGGGGGCGGGGCGGCCCCACCCGCGGCGCGCCCGCATTCCTGCCCCGGCCCGCGCCCCGGCCCGCGCCCCGGCCCTCCGCCCCGCCCCGCGCGCACCCCGCGGGGACCCCGTTCGGCGCCGCCGGAGGCCGCGAGGCCCTCACTTCAAAGACCCCGGCCCCCGCGAGCCCAGCTGCTGACCCCAGGCTCCCGGCCCCAGGCCGCCCCCTGACCCTCGCCCCGGAAGTCGGGGTGACGCGAAGTTCCGGCTCGGTCGCTAGGAAACGAGCCAGCCCGACGCCGGGGGCGGAGTCGGGGCCTCCGGGCCAAGCTGGGGAGGCAGGTGAGGCAGGTGAGGCAGGTGAGGCAGGTGAGGCAGGTGAGGCAGGTGAGGACGCTGGGGCGGCGCCGAGCCCGAGAGCAGCGGGGATCCCTTCGCCGCACACCGGTCTCCTTCCGCAGTGGCGCCCACACGGAGGACCCCAGGCCCCGGCCCCCCGCACGCTGATGCCCGCAAGCACCCGGAGTGCCCATTGCTCTTCCTCATCCCCGCACGCCGACGCCCACCCGTGTAGGGGACACGGCACATACTGGCCCCCGGCCCAGACGAACCCCAAATGACCTGTCCCTCATCCTTCGTGTGCACCGACCCCCCATGCACACGCGGGCCCGGGTTGAGCTGTTCCTCACATACACCGACCGCACCAGCACAGAAGACTGCTCAGGAAGGCAGAACCCACAAGCACACTCAGGGCCGCAGACCAGGCACCCAGGAACGTGCCGACGTCTGCACACGTGGAGGACCCCACCTGATATGGGATCCCTGACACTGACCCCACAGGCAAACAGGGCATGCCGTATTCACACTGACTCAGAGCACAGGGGACCTCCCTCACACGTACGGAACCCTGGGTGTACACACGGGGACCCTACAGAAACCAAGCCCCACACGGATAAGGGGCCCAGCGTGCACATCAAGCCCCACATGCCAGGTGCCCCCCACCCCCCCATGTACACAGCAACCCCCACACACCACCCCAAGCTGCCCCTGGTGCTCCAGTCCCCCTCAGGCCCTCGCTTAGGGCCCCTACCCGCACTTAGACCCTGCCCTGCACTGGGTTATCCGCTCGAACCACCACACCTGGCCCCTGCCACTCCCACCCCAAGAACTGGCCCTCCTGAACCCTTTCGTCGGCCATCAGTCACCTTCCTCTTTGTCTCTCTTACCATGTGATGATCTTATTTTGTTTTCAGAGTCACTCCCATTTCATTTGTTCCTTCCCCAAACACTAAGTGATACCCCACTGGTGCCAGCATGTGGGAAACATGGGTGAGGGGGTGAGACCAGTGCCCAGGCAATTGTGCTGCAGCGGGTGAGGGTCGTGGAGCACCGGCGAGGACCCCGACAGGCTGGGGCAGGCAGTAGGAGCCTCCCAGGGATGAACGTGGGGGTCAGCTGTGTGGACTAGGGAGAGGGGTGATGCTCCAGGGCCTGACAATAGCATCTGCCAAGGCCGGGACCCAGAGAGGGTCTGAGAGTGTGGATGGGTCAGTGCCTTGCGTGGCTGGGGAGCAGGCTCAGGGGTTGACTGGGTTCCCAGGCCGTGGAGAGGCAGGGAGGCGTCAGCAGAGGGGCTGCACTCGTGCCTGTGGTGAGAACCCAGCAGCTTGGAGCAGGGAGGTGAGTGCTGGACTCCAGATCCTGGGCCCGGCAGGGGGATGGGCTGAGCCTGGGGTTGGGGGGCAGGCAAGCCGGGACTGGAGGACTGGGGGATGGGCTGTGGTCAAGTGCTCTTGCCAGGCATCCTGGCTCAAGCTACTGGGCACACACCTGGGGCAGGCAGGCAGGCAGGCATGACATCAGCTGGGAAGCCTCAGGAGAGCCCGTCTTCCTGCTGTCATCCACTCAGGCCCGCGTGGTGGGCCCTGTTCCCCACTGCAGCTGCCCTCTGCCACTCTGAGCACCCCGTCTCTGGTCCTTCTCACCCCCCAGGAGAATGCACAGTAAGAAGAGGGGCCCGAAAGCTGCAGCTGGAAAGTGGCAGACGCCCCACCCTGGGCCCAAGTCGAGAGCCATTGCTGGTGAGTGCACCCTCTGACCTCCAGAGCACTGTCACCCAGACACTGGCCTGCGAGACCCTCTATGTAGCCACAGAGAGACACCCCCTCTGAGAAGAGCCCTCCTTCCAAGAGAGGCTTTCAGGGGATCTCAGAGTTGGGATTGGGTGTGACTGACTGAGGGTTCGGAGTCCATTCATTCATCTCTGACCCTGAGCCTGAATCTTACACCCCTGGGGTTGGGGTGGGGCCTGGGGACAGCACTCAGAGAAGCCCTGCTTTGGAACACATGGAGGTGGGAAGGGGGCAGGAGCACGTGGGAGGGGCTTAGGTGGCCAAAAATGGGTTTTGAAAGAGGAGGGCTTGAGACCAAGTCTAAGCGTGTGGTCCGCTCTGACTCTGCTCCATCGGGGGCGTCCTGTGCCGCCCTCTGCCTGCTGCTTTGCTCCCAGGCCACCTTCTCCATAGTCACTCCCAGGTTGGATGGTGACAGCTCACCTGGGTTGGATTTTCCTGTGGCTCAGGAAGGAGCCTTCCCCCTCTGCGCCCCCGCCGGCCCCACCTTCCCTGTTGTCGCTCCCTTGCCCTGACTCCCGTTTATTCTCTGTGCTGGCTGTGAACACATTCCAGACTGCAGACCTGGGGTCCTTCAGCACGCAGGCCTGCACTGGGGTCTGTGCTTGCTAAGGGAGCACACACCCTTCTCCCCAGACTGCCCCTCTGCTTAGAGTGGGCCTGGCCCGACACCCCTGGATGCCAGAGAGCTCCCAGGTTCACCGGGAACAGGTGGGGTGATGGCGCCCACTCCTCCATGCCAGGCTAGGGTTAGAGTCTAGTTCCCCAAAATAGCCCCAGCCGCGTCTGAGGCGGGCAGCCCTCCTGGAATGAGGATAATGGGCCCAGGCACCGCGTGCTGCTTCCGCAGTCTCTAGCCCTGAGTGCACTGCACTCCAATAAACAGGGGGCAGGGCAGGCGGACCAGCAAGCCAGCCAGGAAACTGGGTTGTGGGGGGTGGGGGGCTGCATTCAGTTCTGCTACCTGGTGCTTCTGTGCACACCCAGACCCTCACCCTGCCCTGCACCCATACACTGCCCTGGACAGTCCTGGCCCAGCCTGCCTGGGTCTGCTGCGGGGACACCTCTGTCCCTGAACAAGTATCTGCCCTCAGCGCCTGTTTCCACCGAGCCCTGGGCAGCCTGGACAGGCTGGCTGTGCCTTGGTCATGCAGTGCCGTGTGGCAGGCACCCACTTCACTTGGCAGATGTGAAGATGGGCCCACAGATGCCCGCCTCCAGCCTGGCATCCTGGCCCTCCACAGGCATATCTAGGTTGCTGGAGTGGCCCCCACACCAACCCAACGGTCCGGGGCCCCTCCCTGCCACCCGCTCCAGGCCTTACCTGGCCCTGGGTCTGCAGTGCTTCGGGCCCCTCACTCCGGAGCTGCTCCAGGGCCACAGCCAGCTGCAGCCCCTCCACGTGTGCCCAGGCCTGCTCCTCCTGCAGCTGCTGCAGCCACAGCTGCTCCTCCTGCAGCTGCTGCAGCCACAGCTGCTCCTCCTGCCACAGCTGCATCTGCAGCTGGACCTGCCGCCAGCGGCCCTCCAGCAGCAGCTGCTCCTGGGCCAGGCACAGCTGGACCTCATGGAGCCTCAGCAGTTCGGGGCCCAGGGCCGGCATGGGGCCCTCAGCTCCACAGCCCTCCATGTGCCCGGCGAGAACCAGCACCAGCTCAGACCCTGGAGCAGTGGCCTGCTCTGGCCTCAAGGCTGCCTGTGGCTGCTCTGGCCCAGCCACCCTGGGGTGTCCCTGAGGAGCTCGCTCGATGCTGGTCACGTGCCCCGTAGGGGCCACCCCCGCTTCCCCCTCAGGGCCCCCTGGGGTCGGGGGCGGGGGCTGGACCTCAGGGCCCTGCTGGCCGGCTGCCGGCTGGGCCCTGCCCGCCCTCCTGGCCCGGGGTTTGCGGCCGCGACCTCGTTTCCCAGACATGGCCCTGGCTCCAGCGCCTCCTTCACCAGGTGTCTGCTCCCCAGGGGCCGTGGCTCATCGACCTTGGCCTCAGTCAGGCCGGCTCAGAGGGCGTCCCGGGAGGCCACGGTGGCTGTGCGCTCCCACGCCGGGCTCGGCCCCCTGTTCCAGGCCCTGCCCCCTGGCTGGTGCCCACGGCACCACAGCTCGGGACTCTGGCTCTGCCTCTGCCTATGGGCCTCACTGGCCCCACTCGGCGGGGCCTGGCCACACCAGGGAGTTTATAGGGACTCTGCAGCTGGGCGGCTTGCCCGGGCCGACGCGCTGACACGGCGGGCACAGGGCTTTACAGGCCACGGGCCCTGCTGGCGAGACAGGGAGGGAGGCTGAGAAGCCGGAGGAGGCAGCGCAGCGCCGGGCGTGCCTGGTCCTGCCCTGGGCGGCACCGATGCCCCCCGCCCCTGCCCCACCCCAGCTCCCCCGGTCCCACATCTGGGCGAGGGAAACTCGAACTGTAGGCCACAGAGCCAGGAGCTGCATCCTGGCCGCACTGACCCTCAGGGCCCAGACCCTCACTGGCCACAGATACCCTGAGCCCAGCTGGCCCCAGGAACCCACAGCCCCAGCCCACCCTGAGCACTCCGGAGGCCTCCAGGGCAGTTAGCATGCTCACAGGAGCCCCGCTGGGGTTTGAGCTTGCCCATGGCATTCGGTGGAGACAAAGGACCCAGGGACCCGGGGGAGCTAGGGCAGGGCTCGGGCCACAGTGCTGTGGCTGGCGGGAGAGCCTGGGCCCTTGGAGACTCACAGAGCAGTCTGTGAACTGATGTGGGGCCAAAAGAAACGATCGCGCAGCGATGGAGGTGGGGGCTCTTGGTGGCATCCCGGCTCGGAGCTGTCCGCCCTGCCCACTGCGACCAGGGCCTGAAGAGCCTGGGCCAGAGCTGCCTTTGGGTCTCAGGATTGGAGGTGGGGGTGCAGGGCTAGCCCAAAATGCTAGCATCCCCTGGGCTTCTTGTTGGGAGGGTGGGCTCCAGGTGGGCTCCTCCCTAGCGTTTCCCCAGCCTGGGGCCGCTGACTCACACCCACGCCCAGGGCCCCATCCCAGCCGGCTCAGCCACACTGGCCAGACTGGTTTGCCTGGCCCAACCCTGCCCGGAGCATACCCGCTCCTGTCTAACCCCAGAAGCTCAGGAGCAGAGAGACAGCCATCTGCCAGGGGAGCACCGAATTGAACACAGAGACAGGAAGGGCCTGGGGGAGGGCGGTGGCGCACGGTGGGGGACAGCAGCGGGGGTGGGCGGGGACAGCAAGCAGCACTGCCAGCCCACAGGGTCCTCCAACCAGAGGTGCAACCTGCCCACCCTGGGCCCACCAGAGCCCAGGCCTGTTCTTGCTGGCTGGCCCTGGCCTGTGCCTCCCCGAGCCTCCCCGGCCCCACTGTGCGTGGTGGGGGAGGAGCCCGTGCTCCTTAAGGTTGTCCTGCGGCAGAGACCCGGGTGGGGCCTCCCTAGCGGCCGGGACCCACGGCCCTTTTGGTGCCCAGTGAGTGCCTCTCGCGGCTGATGGGGCCGGGGCCCTCACACCCCAAGCTCACTGACAGTCCTTTTTCTCTAGGGAAGCCCGGGGAGAACCATCCACCGCAGAGGAAAGCCGGCGAGCAGGCGAGGCAGCCTGAGCCTGCCGAGAACGCCGAGGCCCCGACAGGTGAGAGCCACGCCCGGGGGGTGGGCGCGTGGGCCGGGACACACGCGGTGTGGGGCCGCGCCGGCGTGACACGTGCCCGTGTGGGTGAGTGCTCGGCACAGGCCTGCGGCACGCACGAGCGCCCTCGCGGGGGTCGGGGCGCCTCCTTCCCGGCACCTCCAGATGCGCGCCGGGCGGCAGGAAACGGCGGCCAGCCGCCTTCGCAGGCTCCGCAGGTCCCAGCCCGCGCTGCTCCCCACCGGGCCGACTCCTCAAACCCTCCCGGCCCAGAACCGCAGAGGCTCGGCAGCGCCCCCAGCGTCGCCGGTCCCCGCCGGCCCCTCGCTGCCCGTTCTGTCCTGGCCGCTGCGACCTCCCGCTTCCGCGCTGGTGCCGGGCACGCCTCCCCCTGGTGCCGCCTGCTCCCCGGCGGGCGCCGCTCCACGGAGCCTGCGCGGCCTCGTGGCCCACATCAGGTCTGACCCTGGTGCGTCCCTGCTGGGCATGGGCCATGCTGGCTGCAGCCTCCAGATGCCGGCGGGCACCAGCCAGCGTGCCTCCAGCCCAGGCCCTGGCGCCACCCATCGCCTGATCGCCTGTGTACCCCCCACCCCGCTCCGGTGCTGGGATCAAGCCTGACCCTGTCCTGAGGACGGAAGTAGTGACAGTTGTTTGATGAGACTCTGAGGCGCGCGGGAGCGTGCGTGGAAAGGCCGGCTGGGATGTGAGCGGCGGAGCGGGTCCAGTAGCTGCGGATTTGGGCTTGGCAAGAGGCAGCAGGGGACACAGGCAAGGCCAGGCCCTAGGAAGCGCTGCCACTGAAGGCCGGCACCGAGGCTCTGCCCGGGACGGTCTCCAGTTGACCCTGTGTCTTGCTGTCGCTTTCTCCTGGTGGGAAACCAAGAGGCAGCTCTCCTGCTCTTGGGGTCAGGGAAAGGCGGGGGTGCCCCCGCTTCGCTTTCCGTAGGTGGAGGTGGACTCTGAGCCGGCCTCCAGGACGGTCCAGCATCACTGCCTGGGTGTCTTGGGAGCCTTGGCTGCTCTGCAGGGTGTGGGGCAGACAGGAGCAGGGGCCCCGTGACCCCTGCCGTGGTGCCTCTTTTTGCTACAAAGTGGGTTTCCAGCTTGGGAGCTGTGCTGCCGGGGGTGCTGGGACCACATAGGTGGGGTTGGCAGGCAGGATTCTACGCATCTGCTAGGAACGTCTGTTTTAGCCAGAATAGACGGTGTTTCCTTGGGAGCAGCAGGGGTCGAGTGAAACTGCTCGGCCTCCAGGTGGGAGGCTCAGGGCTGGGCACTTAGTGTTGAGGATGTGCCAGGCTCCAGCCTGCAGCCCTGGCTGCCCGGCTCACGGGTCCTTGGAAGAGTCCATGCCGCTGACTCAGCGCGTTCTGTGCTGTGGGGACACCTGGTCGCCATCACATGGACACGCTATTTTTGCTCTCGGAGTCTATTCCAGGAAGTCCATCCAGACAGAGCACGCCTTCCCAGCCTCCTCCTCGCGGCCTGCAGCCCTGCCGTCACCACACGTCTGGTGATCTGTAAAGAGGGCTTGTCCACGTGGGTGGCCCTGCTCTAGCTGTGTGAAAAGGAGCTCCTGGTGGTGTAGCCACCGTTCCTGCCCCCATACCACTCTGCCCCGGGCCTGCTGGCTGCTGTCCATGACGCAGTCATGATGTCACCGGCCTGTCTGCATCCCCGACTCTCCCTAGGGGCGTCCCCACAAGACGCAGAGCCTTCCCTTGAGCTTGGCCTTCCCTGCTCCTCACAGGCCCACCCCCAGCCTTTCCCAGCTGTCCTTGTCACCGCTGTCCTGTGGTTCTCCACTTCAGGCCCTGGAGAGCCAGCCCAGCCCTCACCGGCGTCTGGAGTCAGTGATACACAGAGCTCAAGCGACTCTTCCCATCTACAGGAAGTGGGTGACCAGGTGCCCCCGGGGGGGCTGTCCCCCGCTGCTGTCCCCCAGGACCTCCCTGCACGGGACTACGGCAGTGGGCTGTGCTGGCTGCAGTCTCCGTGCAGGGGAGGCCGGGCCAGAGTCGGTGCCAGCGTGTGGGAGCCCTTTCCCGCCTTTGCTCCGCACCAGCGTCCCTCCCCAGGAGCCGTCTGCGCTGCGAAAGGGGGAGAATGCGATGTGGTCGCTTGGGCCCCGGGACCCACCTGTGCCATCTGGGCCAGGCCCCGCACACACCGTTTCCACCACACGGTAGATGGCTGCTGGCTGCCCGAGGCTGTGACTGCAGAGCTGCTTTCTGAAGGAAAAATAGCCTCCACCAGGAAGGTGTGGCTGAGCCCCAGAGCCCCAGAAACCTGTGGGAGGCTACACACCTACCCTACTCCCCACACCTCCCGCACAGCGGATCCTCCAACTGGACAGTGTGGTCCCAGCGGCCCAGCAAGTCACACCTCAGCCGGCAGCCCTGGCCACACTGAGGGCGGTGAGCCTCTTGGCCTCTCAGTCAGCAGGTGGGGCAGTGGCCCCGAAATGTAGGCCTGTGCTGCCACTACAGTGCTAAGGGGCCTGCCAAGCACGGGGTCTTCTTGCTGGACAAAGGCCCGGGTGCAAGCATCTGTCTTTTGCCCCACAGTGTCCTGGCACAGTCCAGATCTGTTGACCCTTTCACCGGGTGCTTTCCCCCCACCCCCAGAACTCCTGGGACTATCAAGGTGCCCCGGAGATGGGGTCCCTTTGCCACCACAGATGGAGGGGCTTCAAACCACACCCACCAGCTCTGCAGGGTGGCTGCGTGGCACGGCCTCGTGGGGCTGACGTCCCGGCCACACTGAAGCCTCCTTCCCTCTGGCTCTCCACTTCTGCCTCCCTCTCCCACTATTTTCGGTTTGGGAGTTTGTTTTTTCTTTCTTTCTTTTTTTTTTTTTAAGAGATAGGGGTCAGCTGTCTGACCCAGGCTGGAATCCAGGTGCTATTCCCAGGCGTAACCCTAGCTCACTGCAGCCTCCAACTCCTGAGCTCAGGCGATCCTCCCGCCTCAGCCTGAGCAGCTGGGACTGCAGGTGTGTGCTCCCATGTCAGGCGAGCCTCTTTCGGTATGACTGCGTAGGCTTTTCTCCATCTTTTCTTCATCTTTGCAGTTTTTCTTCTCAAGGACTTGGGCTCTTTGACTTGAGTAGTTCAGTCTGGAGTTTGCGGGGATGGAAAACCTCGAGAATGCATATGCTTAGCATTTAGACACGCGCTCCCTCCTCATTTGCTTGGTGGAATTAGGATTGCACTTGGAAATGCAGTCTGGGGTGTGTTCTTGAGGCCGAACTTCTGTAGATCTGGGCGGACATTTAATGCCTGGCCGCGAAGCCTGCAGCAGAAGTGAGTGAAGAAACATCTACCTTATACTGTATATTTTTAAAAATGACTTTGTTGTGTGAATAATTATGCTTTCATTCACAGATAAATGAGATTAGAAACACTACTTTTATATATTGTAGTTTTTAGTTCCTGAACGCCCTGTGGATTCACTTTTCATAGATTGTAGTTCCTTTTTGAAAATTATCAACATTTATGTCCATTTCCAAATAAGAAAAATTCATATTTTCCTTAATATAGTTATGATGCCTATTTAAAGCTCTTTTCCTGCTAAATTAACATCTGGGCCAGCTGTTCATCTGCTTCTATTAGCCAGCTTTTTTCTCTTGTTTTAATTTTCTTTTTTTTTTTGATTAATAAAGCATTTAATTTTCTTTCTTTTTTCGAGACAGCATCCTGCTAGGTTGCCCAGGCCGGCCTCGAAACCCTAGACTCACATGATCTCCGTCTTGGCCCCCTGAGTAGCTGGGATTATAGGCATGAGCCACCATGCCTGGCTCCTCTTCCACTTTTTTTTTGAGACAGAGTCTTGCTTTAGTCACCCTGGCTGGAGTGCAATGGCACAATCTCGTCTCACTACAACGTCCACCTCCCAGGTTCAAGCGATTCTCCTGCTTCTGCCTCCCGAGTAGCTGGGATTATAGGCACCTGCCTGCCACGCCAGGCTAATGTTTGTACTTCTAGTGGAGATGTACACCATGTTGTCCGGGCTGGTCTCGAACTCCTGACCTCATGATCTACCTGCCTTGGCCTCCCAAAGTTCTGGGATTACAGGCGTGAGCCACCACGCCCGGCCGCCTCTTCCACTTTTACAGATCCTCACGATCGCATGGAATCTCCTGGGTAATCTGGTACCGTCTTCCTGGCTTAAGGTCATCCAGTTAGCAACCTTAATCCCTCTGCAACCTCCGTTCCCTTCTTGGGCATCACCTCGAGTATTCACAGGTTCCAGGGAGCAGCAGGTGGACATCTTTGGGGGACCTTATTCCACCCACCAGAAAGCTTAGGAGCACCCACAGCCCTGAGGCGAAGGAGGGAGGGAGTGCTACTGTCTGCCGGTGGAGGTGAATGCTTTTGCCCCTCCCGAGTGAGGACATTGAGAGGAAAGAATTTGCCAAAATGCCGGGCACACACCAAGTGCAGAGGCTATATTGCTCTGCTGCAGCGCAGACCCCTCCCGGCGTGGCAGCTCCCATTGGCCCTGCTGCCCATTCAAGTCTACTGCAGTTCCGTCACCCACTGTCATTATGACTTTGTTTTTGCAGAGGCCAGACAGGTGAGCCTAATGGAGGTGTGTCGGGAGCGCCACGTCTGCTTCGCTGGCCTCTGATGTTGTTACCTCCGCAGTTTCTCCAGCGAAGGCACTCCTTCCGTCAGGCGCGGTCTTGGTGGAGGCAGGAAGTTCCGTAGGCCCGCACTTGGTTCTTTCTGCTGTAACGACCCTTACTCCTCTGGCCAAGGAGCCCGTGCGAGCATTCGGCTGGCGGCTAAGAATGTGTATCCCAATAAACAGGGCAGATCTACAGACCTGCCGGGCCTGTTAGAGATGGGCTTGGGCCACGGCGCCTCCCGCCACTCCCAGAGTCCCGGTGTCAGCGTCAGTGTCTGGCTGTACACTGTTGTTTTTTTTTTTTTTTTTTTTGAGACGCAGTTTTGCTCTTGTTACCCAGGCTGGAGTGCAATGGCGTGATCTCGGCTCACCGCAAACTCCGCCTCCTAGGTTCAGGCAATTCTCCTGCCTCAGCCTCCTGAGTAGCTGGGATTACAGGCACGTGCCACCATGCCCAGCTAATTTTTTATATTTTTAGTAGAGACGGGGTTTCACCATGTTGACCAGGATGGTCTCGATCTGTTGACCTCGTGATCCACCCACCTCAGCCTCCCAAAGTGCTGGGATTACAGGCTTGAGCCACCGCGCCCGGCTTTGGCTGTACACTGTTTTCCCCAGTCCTCCAAAAGCCTCTCTCTGTCCCTCGCCAGTGACACTGCACGCGGGCAAATGGCCACAGACTCCGTCGGGGGCACAGTGGGCGCGTAACCGGTGGGAGCCGTGGGAGAGCCGCGTGCCCAGGGGCTTCCAGCTGCCGCTTCGATTTGACAGCTGTGAGTCTGAATTTGACTGAAATCTGGAAACTGGGTGAGGGGCGGTGACGGCTGCTGTCCAGCTGGCAGGGCCTGACGTGTCTCTGGTCATACTCACTGGGGCAGCAACACCCTGCTGACCGCGTTCCCAGGCCAAGGCCTCCTGAGTGCCGCCCTCGCTTTCTGCCCACCGCGGTACCCACCTTGCCTCTGACAGTTAAATGCTGCCGGGTAACCTCTTCTCTTCCAGAATCCCACGTCCAAGTAGATACTAGGGCAGGCAGTTCTATGACTGTTTTCCCCAGTATCAACCCAAGCTTACAGGGGACAGTCACCACAGAGCTCCTGAAAGATGCCAGTAGTTCGCTCATTTGTACATTTCTTCTTCTTTTGGATGGAGTCATGCTCTGTTGCCCAGGCTGGAGTGCAATGGCATGATCTCAGCTCACTGCAGCCTCCACCTCCCAGGTTCAAGCGATTCTCCTGTAGAGAACTGAGTAGAGTAGTAGACACGGGGTTTCACCATGTTGCCCAGGCTGGTCTCAAACTCCTGACCTCAGGTGATCCACCCACCTCGGCCTCCCAAAGTGCTGGGATTACAGGCCTGAGCCAGCATACCCAGCCTCATTCATGCGTTTCTTGTTGTTGTTTGAGACAGGGTCTTGCTCCGTTACCTGGAGTGCAGTAATGTGATCACTGCAGCCTCAACCTCTTGGGCTCAAGCAATCCTCCCACCTCAGCCTTCCGAGTAGCTAGGACTATAGATGTGCACCACCATGCCCGGCTAATTTTTTTCTTTTGTAGAGATGGGATCTCACTACGTTGCTAAGGCTAGTCTTGAACTCCTGGCCTCAAGCAATCCTCCCACCTCGGCCTCCCAAAGTGCTGGGATTACAGGCTCGAGCCACCATGCCCGGCCCTTCTTTTAGCACCTTACATACATTGGCCCACTGCTTTCTGGCTTCCGAGTTTCTGATGAAAAATCTGCGGTCATTTTATTGAGAGTCCCTTGTATGTGACAAGCTGCTTTCCTCTTGCTACCTTCAGGGTTTTCTCTAACTGTGTTTCAGAAGTTTGACTGTAATGTGTCTCAGTGTGGCTCGCTTTGAGTTCATTTTACTTGGAGTTACTTGAGCTGCTTGGATGTTTATATGCATGTCTTCCTTCAAATCTGGGAAGTTTTCAGCTATTATTTCTTCAAACATAGTCATATGCTGCATAAAGACATTTTGGTCATCGACAGACCGCATATAGGAGAGTGGTCCTCAAATATTATAATACTGTATTTTTGCTGTACCTTTTACGTTTATATGTACTTAGATACACAAATACTCACCCTTGTGTTATAATCGTCTAAGTATTAAATACAGTAACACGCTGTACATAGTTGTAGCCTCAGAGCAGTAATCTACACAGCACATAGTTTAGATGTACAGTAGCTATACCATGTAGACCCATGTAAGTACCGTCTGCGATGTTCACACCATGATGAGACCACATGAGGGTGCGTTTTTCAGAACATATTTTTGTTGCTAAGTGATGCCTTACTGTATTCTCTCTGCCCCTTTCTCTTTCTTCTCTTTCTGAGGCACCCAAAATGTATGTGTTGGCCTGTTTGATGACCCACAGGTCCCTTAGTCTCTGTTCACTTTTTTCTTTTCTTTTTTTTTTTTTTTTTGAGACGGAGTTTCGCTCTTGTTACCCAGGCTGGAGTGCAATGGCACGATCTCGGCTCACCGCAACCTCCGCCTCCTGGGTTCAGGCAATTCTCGTGCCTCAGCCTCCTAAGTAGCTGGGATTACAGGCACGCGCCACCATGCCCAGCTAGTTTTTGTATTTTTAGTAGAGACGGGGTTTCACCATGTTGACCAGGATGGTCTCGATCTCTTGACCTCGTGATCCACCCGCCTCGGCCTCCCAAAGTGCTGGGATTACAGGCTTGAGCCACCGCGCCCGGCTCACTTTTTTTTTTTTTCTTTAAGACAAGGTCTCACTCTGTCACCCAGGTTGGAGTGCAGTGGCACAATCACAGTTCACTGCAACCTGTGCTCGAGCAGTCCTCCCTCCTCAGCCTC